GATCGCTACGTAAATGCATACAATGTAACACTAGCTAGATGTAGTGAATGACGAGATCAATAAACAACTACCTCAGGAAATGAAAATAACAACTTGAGCATTTAAATTTTAACTTTTTTTTTTTAATAAAATTTTGGGGATTATGAAAATCCAAATATGTAAAGCGGGTACTACTGATCTATGTAAAATAAGGAAGCGAGGGTCAAACACTAGTCAACAACTTAATCATGTAAAATAAATATGGCAGAAGCGGTTAAAATAAATATGGAAAAAGTGAAAATATAGTAAGGCAGAGAATTAGCAGGTCTAAAAGTTTAATCACGTGAATTTTATGTAAAGACTGCAGCGCAAAATTAATCAATGCAATTCAAGACAAACAGCAATATAATTGAGGATGAATTAAAACAATGACTTTCCTTTCGTACGCTTGAAGAAACTACGTCCAATCAACTGAAATGTAAGAGGTACCTGCAAATAATAGAAAAGATGTTTCTCTTCCATTCTTTTTTTTTTTTATACTAATAAAATTGCTAACTAAACAAATGGGCCAAAATAAGGGTATATATGGAGGCCCAAAAAAAAACTAGAGACAGAGACTTGATCTAAAGCCCAAACAAAACCTTAAAATAAAGCCCAAACAAAACCTTAAAATTACAAAGGGCAACTCAGGCTTGGAGACCAAACTCATTTCTCATGTGAAGTCGAGGCGGCAGAGCGCAGGGAAGAGACAGAGAGATGGTCGGGATGGTAACTGTGATGGAACTTCACAATTGTGCAGGCAGAATTGTTTGGCTGCAGATGTTTTGAATTTGAAGAGGGCAGTGGGAGTAATCGTTGGATTCGTATATGGTCGATATGGATCCGATTTCTATTTAATGTTCGGTGGTAACAGTTGATTGTGGTAGTGGAAGGAGAGTGTTGACTGCTTAGGGACACCGGTTTAAGAGCGATCAACGGTTGGTCCTTGAATGTCACGCATTGAGGCGACGGTCGCGGTGTGGGTATCTCAGGTTATTGTAAAA